AAGTACCTCCTAGAAACCACTCAAACACTAAAATTGCATAGCTGGGGAGCAAATTTCTGCTTTGAATGCACCTGTTCCCCAGCACATACCCATTTCACTGGTGACACAGAGCTGTCACAGCCCAAGGACATGGTTCCCATTTTTTTGGACTTTATCATCCTCACTCCATCCACTTCACTTAAAATAAATTCCACTCCCCTAAACCCAACTTGGATTTCTTTTGATTGTATTCTGTTTCTGCAGTGTTTTAAGACTTTTTATAATGAAATACATAAATTTGATTAGGAAACAGATTATTCTTGATTTCACATCTTACGTTTGCAGAATAAAAATTATTTTTAGTAGTTTATTTGGGGAACAATTAATAATTGCTTGTATGCAGACTGAGAGTCCAGGTGTAGGTAGCCTGGCAGGATATTTCATCCACATTATTGTAGAACCTCTTTGGTCCTCTTTGGGGCTCTTTGGGTCTATCCAAGCCCATCTCACAGACACAGCATCTTTCTCTCTTGGACAGAAACATGTATAGGAATTGGAAACATTTGAAATTTGGATTTGTCATGTTGTGGTTGGTGATCCTGGGAAAGTAGCTGAAGTCTCTGAAGTTGAGATTTCTTATACCTAGCATGAGAATGGCACTCCCATGGCCAAGGGTGATTTGAGATAAAGACTCTTGGAATCAGGCACTTTATGATCAGGAAAGAATCTTAGATTTCCTCTAGGTTAGTCTTCCCCTTTTATAGGTGAGGAGAATGCAGCTCAGAGAGGATGAGTGGGCTCCCAGGAGCACCCCAAGCTGGGGCAGAGACTGAGGCCTCTTGACCTGTGAAGAGGCCTTTTCACTACTCGTAGTCCTGACCATGGCCATGGCTCATGGGCTTTGGGAATGGATGGTGCGTAATCAAAGACATTGCTGCCTCCTATCTGTTCACCAAATTGTAGGTTTGAGAAGATGATCAGCGGCCTGTATCTGGGTGAACTCGTCAGGCTCATCTTGCTGAAGATGGCCAAGGCAGGCCTCCTGTTTGGCGGCGAGAAATCCTCCGCTCTCCACATCAAGGGCAAGATTGAAACACGGCATGTGGCTGCCATGGAGAAGTAAGCTTTTGGCAGGGTCCCTCTCACTTTGACTTTGCAGAGGATTAGGGTGGGCAGACAAGGCATGGTGTGCTTATGGGAGTGGTGCACAGAGGGACCAGATCTTCCTTCTTCACCAGGACGATTTCAGACCTGGGCAGAGCTTCCTCCCTGAAGTAGTGACATAACTTTTTTAGGGCCATAAACCCCTTTGAGAATCTGATTCAAGTTCTGGACCCTTTACCCCAAAATGTACATTTCATACAGTTTTCTTATAATATCAGGGCATCCTTGGTCATGAATTGAATCCAAAGTAAGAACAACTGCTAGAGCAAAGAGCCTTCTCTACCTGGTGCAGTTGGTGACTGGCTTTGGCTTTGGTGATTGGAGGCCTCACACACAGGTCCCTGCAGTGGGGAGCTGACTGCTGAAGTTGGCTAGCCCCAGTCAACTCAGGATCCTCTCCTCAGACTTAGATACCGTGGCATTGCCCTGAGCTTTGCAGTCAGCTTAGAATCTGAGCTCAGCAGGGTGAGCTCCCTGAGTCTGCACTCCCAGAGTCTGTGCTTGTGCAGAACTTGGCAGAGACTGAGTTTCTATGAAAGACAGTGTAGTACAGGGTGCCTTAAATGGTGAGCTCTGTGCTCTAACTGCCTGAGTTCAAATCCTGGCCTTTGCGCTTACTAACTGTGTGCCTGTGGACAAGTTACCTACCCTCTTTGTGCCTCAGAT